GATGTTTTAATGACCTTTTTAAAAATCTTTTCCTGTCTTTTTTTTTTTTTTTGGAACAAATTGTTCTATTTTCATTTTTCCAAAATAGCTAAGTATTGATTTATACTGCTAGACTCACATGGGGTAGATTAACTTCTAAGATGTGATTTTTCACAACCGAGATTTTCGTCCCAGTAGCAGAAATAGTTGCTAGTAAAGTGGATGAGCTAAGGAGAAAAAAAAATGAAGACAATCTTGAAATGCATACTGAACTCTTCTTATTCTCTCCTTCATACTGAAACAAATTATAGTTTCCCTATTTTGCTCCCATTTTTTCTGCTCTGGTATTGCTCTGGTCAACATTAAGATTTGAGTGACACCAAAGTTTAACTTAGTTTAAAATTAGAAATTATCTCCCTATGGACCAATCACAGTCAAAATTGTTAACAGGTATAGCCAACAATCATGCATATATGATGATCACGTTTCAAGCTATGAACGATATGCCCCACCTGTGACTTTTAATGTTTTCTCCATAAATACTGTAACTTTGAAAGACATCAGAGTCAAGACATGTCTTACCAAATAATATGGAAAGAACTGTTACTACAAAGGTTTTCATAAATATTTATTCTACAAGCTGTTACAGAAACTGCTGGGCAAGTATTGGAGTAAAGAAGTGTAAAATTAAAGCTAAATTGTAGTGACCTTAAACTGAATAAGAATTGAAATTACACTTTCCCATCAGAAAAGCTACATCAGCACAGTTTTGATGATTTGACAGCTGAAAAAGATTTGAGAAAGGTTCTGCATGCTGTCACTTAGACATTAAGGCTAATCTTTTCAGACTATTGGCAAAATGAGTTGGCTGCCATCTGGCTGAGGTTTAAAATTTACATAATTCATTATACAGTTGTCTTATGGTTTGGATTTGGTTGAGAAGAGCAAGTAGGCACCATTGAAAAATGGGTATTTTTCATTCCGATTTGCCAATAGACCCTTACGATCAAGATTTGGCTTTTCAAGTGATAGATTTCACATGGAATCTGGTACAATAGTCAGTTTGCTTCCATCAGATAGGTTAGACATTTTTTTTTTCTGCTTGCTGGTATGCTGCAGCGTTCACACCTGCCAGAAAATGTCAGAATGTTTATTCCAAGAATAAAAATGTGGGCACATGTCCGCCTCCCAAAATAAATAGTACAGCAGATATATTCTGTAGTCTCTCCAATACTCACAGGTTGGAGTTAGTCATTCTTCCTGTGAAGGGGTGGCAATCAATCACTGTCAAAGAGATCCTTGACTTTGGTGTCAAGAGCAGGGATAGCTGGATCAATGGAGAAGGAGCACTAAGCTGCCTGTAAGTAAAGAATATGTTTTTCATATGTGTAAATAGCAGCATTGTAAAATCCCAAAAGTATCTGGGCTCAAGGGACAAAAAAAATGCGGCATGGAGGGTTTTCTCATTTGCCAAACAAATCATCTTTCACTTACAACCTTTTCCTCCCACAAAGCTGGAGGGTGAATATTTTCATTTAAAAATCATTATTTTTTTGTCCCTGCCAATGGAATATATTCAGAAATCATCTGCATTGATTTACTGGAAAAAAAAATCTTTGTTCCACTGTGAAGTAGTACCACAATTTTAAGATGGCAAGTGCCTAAGAAACAACAACAATGATATTCAGAGACTAATTTAGTCTGTCAAACTTGGCCTTTTCGAATGACTTGAGTCCCAATAAACTTGTATGCTTTCAAAGTCTTCTATTTAAGTGATGTGAAACTAAAACAGAACAAGTCATGAATGCTTTGCAGGGAATGATAATCACCTTGTATTTAAAGCACCAGAATAGAAACTGGCTGCATTTATGTCTCTCATAGATTCCTTGTGTGACCCTGGTGAGTCATTTCACCTCTCCTTGCCTCTGTAACAGAAAAGAAAATATTTCCTCTGCGCTTCTTGCTTTGCAAAACAAGACTTGGGAGTGCAAGTACTGTAGCTTGAATTCATCTGACTTAGACAAATATAACAAAGGTGTTAAAGTGGGGAACATGCACATTTTAGGTTCCCTCTATCATCAGAAATGAGACTTAAGAATCCCTGAAGGGCAATGCAGCTGTGGTGTGAAAGGCCCTTTGGCAGCATCTCTTTCTATGCATTCACAGTAGAAGAAATCTAGGGTGATCGCACCTCTCATTTTGGTTTAGTTGGTAGAATCCAAGAAGTCTTTACAATGTTTTTAGCAAAAAAGTGTCCCCAGGCGCTACTAACATACATAGAATGCTGTTAAGTAAAACAGAAATCCTAAATGGCAGGCTGAGTAGTTGAATCCTGATGGGGACATCTGGCTGGAGAATGACTAGATTTACATTACATAGAGAGTTACCAGTTTGGGATCTCAAAAATGAAAATCTTCAAGACAGAATTAGGGTTTTTTTTCTACCTTTTTTTTTCTTCCCCTGTCCTGCTCTGCTCCAGAAGAGCTGATAATTTTCTTATTTGTTTTTCATAGGTCAAACTCCATAGCTAGACTCATCCATGAAGCACTGCAGAACAAAACTCCAATTGCTCCCATTTTCTGAATAAATGGAATAAATGGTACAGCCTGGGAGCAGTTGATCTGTTTAGGAAACCTGTTCTACAGAGAAGAATGGCATGGGGAGTTCATATTGAAATATTCCTTAATGTAAATTTAATCACAGAATCACAGAATGCTTAAGGTTGGAAGGGACCTCTGGAGATCATCTAGTCCAACTCCCCTGCTCCAGCAGGGACACCTAGAGCATGTGGCACAGGGTGGGATCCAGGCAGATTTCGAGGATCTCCAGAGAAGGAGACTCCACAACTTCTCTGGGCAGCCTGTTCCAGAGGTCTGTCACCCTCACAGTAATGAAGTTCTTCTTCATATGGAGGTGAAACTTCCTGTGTTTCCAATTTATTTATTTATTATTTATTTTGTTAAAAAGTGTAATAAACATATCCTAACCAGGCCTAAAATATTGTGGGGTATATACTTCCTTGGTGATAATTTACTTGCTTTCTTTTTTGTTTTGTTTCATTTCTCTGTAATTATTATGCCCTATTTCAGATCATTCTGAAGTTCTTGTTAACTCATCTGCCTCTTTTCGCTGAAATCAACAGACTATTCTCTCAGGTAGGAATTACTCATGTGAGCAAGCATTACAGGATTGTTACATTAAAGATGACATATATACTAGACGTTCTTTAGCGTGAGCAGTAATTAAATAAATTTCAGAAATCTTAAAAATATTTCAACACTGATGAAGCAAGGTAGGCAAGATGACTTAGTCTCCACATATCAGCTATCTGATGGCCTTGAAAGTCTTTTATTGACCCCTTGAGTGACTGAAATCAGAACTGTGTAAACAACATTTTTCTCTCTTTCAGCCTGCTGAAGGCATTTCAGTGTCTACAGTTCTTGCAGACTCAGGACTTCAGTGTTTTCAATTTTTTTTTTCACAAATCTGTTTTATAAGATGTCTGAAGCAATCCTTTGGTCAAAAGACTGTCAGCATCAATACTTCTGCATTGCACCTAATATACTAAGCTGAAAACAAGCATGACCCCTTTGGCTGCCAAACAGCCACTTATTCATACAGCATTTAAATCTGTAGCAACTCTGAAATAAAACAGAATAAAAATTTGAAACAACAGGCCTTACAAGGGGCTAAAATACTGTGACCAAAGCATAAGAGCAATGCAAGAAGAGATGGAAAAGTGTGGCACAGAATGTAATTGCAACATGGCCAGTATTTAAGTATTTTATTATGTCAGACTAAAGAGAATGAAAAAAACATCAAATGTTCCGTTGGTAAATGATCTGTTGGTCTGAGGATCTGCAGCAATTAAAAGTTTAGTGTTTTTAAAAAAAGAGCCTATTTCAATTATAGGCATGGAAGATAACCTAGTAGACCTACTCAGGGCACTATCTCGAAAAACATAAGAATTGCGATCAAATCTGTGCTTTGGCTGCAAATTAGAGGCTTTTGGAACTACAGCTCTCAGATTCCAGGTGAGTTGATGAATGGTTGTTGTTTTCTTGTTTTCCATGTCTTCTTTTTTTTTTTGTACTTCAGACCTCTGAACCTTGGTGAATCTTTTCTGCATTTCCAGTTCTACAAAATTGCATTCTGTCACTTTCCCTTTTTCTCCCCTCCCTGAAAACCTCCAAAATGTAAGAAATCATCCATCTCTTTAAGAACTAATAAAAATAGGATAACAAATGAAGGAGTTTAGCTTGTTCCAAACAGGAGATTGTCCATTTCCTTGCCATTTGAACCACAAATAAAACTTACTGTTCCCTATTTCTCTACATTGCTCTATTGAGTGCATTTATTTTTGTGGTGTATAATTTTATATAGATATGGTGATATGTGAATAGGGGAGTCAGGAATTGCTCACCTGGAAAAAAATAGTATTTTATTTTTAGCTTTCTCCAATACAGGTGAGGATAAATGACCACTTCACAACCAAAGAGATTTGTAAAGCTCTGGCAAATGTTTGCTCTTCTTCAGAATGACTGGATTTATCATTTATTTCTCAGCATGCAGTGTACCAAGGATACCCAGACAGAATATCTTAAAGTAGCACAGACTTACATACACGAATAAGGAACATAGAGATTTGCTTGATTGTGGCATATAAACTTGAATAACTGTTATTGTGAATATGTTTTGTTAGAGAACGAACATTTTGCCGAGAAAAGCTATAGATGGTTGGCCAAGGCAAGCACCTGCAAATCTGATAACTATCTGGTCAAATACTTACATGAACAGACTTACTAGTTTCATTCTAAGTAAGTTTAAAGTAATCTTTGAATTTGAGAAATTTCACATGAAAAGAATTGTCATTCACATAAGACACTTGATGCTGCAGGCTAGTTCAAAAGGCTTTGATTTTTGTGTTTCTCATGGTTACTCCTAGCAAAATGAAGCATCAGTCTCTCAGAGTACTTGGTGCTTTGTAGTGCAAAAGACCATCCTTGAAATGTTCTGATATGATGTCGAGTGATGTAAAGTTTCTGAACAAAATGAGGACAGGTGACAAGCCGAAGTAAGTAGCAATAACTCCTGAGTTTAGCTGATACACTTGGGAGTCAAATATGGGCTTGAAGTTTTCGGTTTTTTTCTTCAGTAAATCTAAGTGGGAAACAGCTTGATCTTCTGAAATTAAATTAGACAAGCTGTTAATGAAGACTAATTTATTTGCATAATTTAAGATATGTAGAGAGAATTCCCTTGATCTGTGCAAGCTGTACTTGGGTTAGGATTCGGACTGAAGATGAGAGATTTCTCCAAGCCATTCTTCATCCTCTTAATCTGTACCCAAACTGAGAGATAAGATGTCCCTGAGTAATTTATAGCAACTCAGAAATGGGCCCTCTTACTCTGCTCTGTCATATATCTTAGCTGCAGTTTTACGTTTTCCTCACAAGGGAACATGTGTGCTGTGTCTTCACTTGCTTCGAGGTTCTCATCATTGACAGAGACTTTCTTCCTGCTGTGCTGGAGAAAATCATTTCACCTCATCAGGACCAGGAGTCAGAATCTGCCCTGTAAGTTTTTTGCTTCAGGAAGTGTGTTTGGGGGATGGAGGGCAAAAATACCAAGGAGAAGTCACACTGGCAATTGTAGGCTTCCTTCAGCCCCTACTTACAGGGGTCCATGGCAGCATCAGTGACTGAGGTCTTGTGTTATATCATCCTGACAGCCCATTCTCTTGTCTCCCTTGACATAACATCATGGCCAAACACCAGGTCTCTTCAGGGAGTTGATCCAAGCCAGAAAACTAATCTGATTTTTCTTTCTCTGATTAATATTTGGCTCAACGAGCTCACTCACCACCTACCAGACATGAGGGAGAAAGGGCAGGAATGTGCAACTGGAGGTAGAGGTGGGATTTGCCACACCACTGATTTAGATCAGTTTAAACTGCTGTTGAACAGCACTCTTGGGGGTGTTTCGCAGTCTAGTTTCTTTATATGAAAATAAAGGAGTTACTGGAGAACAGTAGAGTCAACATAATGCAAGTCAGAGCACCTAATGTAAATGACTCAATTCAGCGTTGCGACCCCCCACATAGATGCAGACTGTTATTCACTAAAGATGCTCTGGACACGCACTGGGTGACTGCTTGGCTAGATTTTTCCCCAGTGTTTATTGATTTAATACAAATACAAAGAACAGTGCCAAATCTGGCAGTTATTACTGAGTCCATGATTTAGCCTGCTTGTGAACATTTAATGTTCTGGAATAATTTCAAAAATGCCTAGTTTAACACAGCCTAATTTAACTCAGTTGCCCTTTCCATAGATGATTATCTCACTAGCAACTCCTCTGCCCTCTTCTTTTTGTATATTTTCTTACTAGTAGCATCATTTCTAAACTAAAATATAGGGATATTATCCAAATCCCATATATCTGGGAGTACTCTTATTGACCAATTTTAAGCATGTAGCTTTATATCCCCTAGTAATAAAACCTCTCTGACTGGAAAAAAAAAGAAGCTCTTCCAGAAGTAGCTCCGTTGAGCTTCTTTTCTGAATCACTCTCGAAGAATCAGTTACTCTCTCTGATCTTACAGGGAACATAGGGAAGCTAGTTTCTAACTAACTCAGACATATGAATTTAAGTGCCTAAGAAGAGGCACTTTAACAAAAGTGACATAAAAATACTTTAAATTTTATCGCAGAGTGAAAAAGAAAACACACCCACAGAGTCATGCAGTATAAAGTTCTGCATTGTCCATTTCAAGCTCACCCCATCGCTAAAGCATGTGTGTCATAAAGTATAGATATGTAAACACTTGAAAAACAGCTAGATGGTTGGCCATGAACCAGCACTACTTTTTAAGTTTGGACTGAAATTATTGTTCATTTACACTGAGGTAAGTGAGATGAAAATCGGAGAGTGCGGAAAGTGAAGTAGGGCATTTGGAGAGACCTTTTAACTGAGCTGTGTACAATTTGTAAATGAGCTCAGTTTCTGAGGATTTGAGTTGCTGCACTGCTTTGTTAAAGACCCACTATATTTCTATCCAGAAAAAAGTGCTCATAGATTTATTTCTGGAGAACAGTGACATCTAGCGAGCATTCTGACCAATACCGAGGTGCTCCTTAAACCTGATCTGCTGCTTGGTTTTACTTTGTTTTGTGGCTATTTTAATATTGCAGTCCCTTAAATGTCAACTGAATGACTTGCTAATCTCTGGCAGGGCCAAATGAATATAAATGGGAAAGTATCCATGTGCCAGAATGATAAGGGACTTGGGTGACTGATAATGGGAGACTTCACCATGATCAGTGAAGTGTAGGAAAGTGCCCTGCTACGGATTTGCTCCAGGACCTGTGCAAAGACAAGCAAGCTCCAAGCTGTCAAGAGGTGAAGAGCAGCATCAGCCAGGAAACTACCAAGGCCAAGTGGTTCATGAATTCAGTACTTTCCTGGCAGACTTTCTGTTCCTGGCCTCCTGGGAAGCACCTGTCAGAATTTATGGCTGCCTTTTCCTACCAGAGATCCTGGAGCAGGTAGTTACACTAACCTCGATACTCACAGAGCACTCCTCTGTGTGTTACTCTCATGCAAAGTCTGCACTGGGGTCCTCTACTGGGGTTCATCTCAGGATTGTAAGAATGTGTGTGCACATCCATGTAGGGGTAAAGAAGTCCCAGCTTTAAAATAAAATGCTTTTGGAACTAAAAATACTATTCGCTCTACACAGCAGCTCTGTGAATTTGCGACAAGTGAGATGGTCCTCCAAGGATCCCAGGAGGAGGGTCATAAAGAAATGGATATGTTGCTTGAAAGAAACTTTTCTCAAAGATTGTGTTGCATAATGAGCCTGGGGATTACAGATGGTTTTGACTTATGCAAACACCAACATGGAAGTCCTCAACACTCCATCAGCATCTGCAGCTGGTCACTTCATTAGCATCTGGTCTTTAAAAGAACGGAGAAATGACCTTTCAGTTGTGTCATAAATGACCGTTATATAAAATCCCCTCTGTCCAGGCTGTAAACATGTATTTTATTATATAAATTAGATTTTTTTTTCAGTATTCTGAGAGATATTGGGACAGATGCCTTCCTTCCTTCCTTCCTTCTTCTTTTCCTTCCTTCCTTCCTCCCTCCCTCTCATGAGGCATCTCTTTTAGCCCCTCAGAGACCACATTTTAGATGAAGCAATGGATTGAAATGCTCAATGGATGAGAGGGCTAGTGGACACTCATTTGGGAATCCAATGCACCTTCCTGTCAGATTGCAAGGGAAGTTGTCAGATGAGATGCCTGAGACGAGAGGGCTGACCTAGGGGCATATCAAAGGGAGAGAGCAAGAACACCGACACATTGAACATAGGTGTTCAGATAGTTTAGAAGTATGTAATGTTTTGCAATGAAGTCTAAGTACTGAAGTGTTTGGTTAGGCTTTGTAAGTGTAAGCATAATGTTTCAGGTTAAATCTTTGGTATCTCATGATTTTTCTCTTCAATTTGCATTTTAAAAATAACTCAGAATTGCGCATGTTCACAAAAGTCAGCAGCAGGATAAAATCCTTACACTGACAATGTCCTCCATGACTTGAGGCCCTTTGAGCATTGGAGGCTATTTTTCCTCTCGAGGTACCAGCTGCTGGAGGGTCTCAGCTGCAGTCGCTGAGATATGACTTTGCCTTTGACTATTGCTATTTTCTGATAGCAAAGCAGAGGGACAAACTTTGATATTGTTTCAAAAACAGTTATTACTAAAATAGTAATGTTAAATTATTCCAATTTTGCCTTTTCTCAATTTTAAAAGTTATCTGTGATTACTCTTATACCAGTGGTGACTGCAGAACATAAAATAAGTATTTATGGGTTGGGTTCCAGGGAGAATTATTTTATTTCTTTATTTATTTCTGTTAAGGATTAGTTTCAAGTGTTAAAAGACATAACACGTAAGCTATTAAATATATTTTTATGCAGGCTCAAAAAGACACATTTTTTTCCACAATTTTAAAAACCTTTCATATTATTTCCTTTTATACTGCAAGTGGGAAAGTGCATGAAAAGTTTTGTGCTTTCTATAACATATTTTGCCAGGAGCCTTTAACTATGTCTTGGGACAGCAGAAAGATTTATTTTTGATATAAGATTATTTATATTATTTTTATTATTATTTCAGATGACTGCTCCACAAATGGCTGAGTGTTATAATACCACATGTCAAGTTTTACAAGACTTGTAAGACTTAAAATTTCTGTTGCTTGGGCATCTATAATCCTACAGTTTGGGTTATTTGTGCTACAACACAGATGGCTCAGATCAATCCTCAGATGGAATTTCTGTTCCACCCCTAAACTTTGTTAGACTTTGTTACTTATGATACACAAAGACAAGACTTGCAGCTACTTGGAAGGATTAGATATTCTGGACTCCATATGGGTAGACCACACTCACTGATGTAGTCCTTGTTAAAAACTTTTTACAAAAGATAAATAAAAAGAACGCAAATGAATTAGACGCTGCTCTTTGTGCTCTGGTTTTAATTTTTCTTTTCCATTTTTATCAATAAAAAGTCATCGTTAATAAGCAAAGTTATTTTCTTTTTCTTTAATCACAGTGTCCCCTAAGAGTTGGCAAGGGAGTCCATGTGACTGAAATAGCAGGAGTCAAGTCCAGAACTGGCATTAAGAGAAACAGTTACTGAATGTTGGCCTCTCATGTTTTACTTCTCGAGATCATATGTTATAGAGAGGAGCTTTGTTTATTTCTTTGTTTGGATAAAATTGCTTGCTGCTCCACAAATTTAAACATGCTTTTTCAACCCCCAACGAACCTGGCATTCTTTTTCCAACTGCAGTGTTTGCTCTGCTGGCCACAGACCCTCCTGCTTCTCGCTCCATCTCCTCCTGTTTCCCTGACTTCTTTTTTGGCTTCTGTCCCATGTTTTCTCCCATGCACTTCTGAACTTCGGTTTTTCTTTTGGTAATCACACTGTGCCATGGTACTAACGCCCCTCTTGCTTTATGCTGCCAAAATCTTTTCCACTCACCACTTACAGTTTTCTTTTTTTTGCTCCCTGCTTTCATTTTTTTCTGCCCTGTGACTTGCTGGCTCTAAGAATAAGAATTGCAAGGAAATTGTACCTGCCTTTATAATAAAGCATGCTCTTCTGCTCTGGGAAGGGTACATCGTAGGCATTCCAGCCAACAACTAAAACAGGAGTCTCTTCAGTGCAGATGACACTTTAAGAGAAAGCTGAAAGCAAAGAGCAATCATCACCACCACCAGAAACCCTCAAGTATATACACAAACTGGAAATGTTAGGGTTTTGACTTTGACAGATTTGGGACAACTTTTGATGGTAACAATAGGTACAACTAATACCTGAAGGGCTGTTAGCTTTGATCAAAATCTTGGAGTTTTTAGAAATTATAATATCGTTTTAATGGCTACTTCTTAGTGCTAACAGGTGCAATTTTTTGCAGCAAATCTAAGCAAGCAATCTGAAACAGACATGGAAATTTTCAAGTCAAACCTTTAAAAACTGATACGCTGTAGAAGCGATGAAAAATGAGA